GGGGGGGCGGGGGGAGGTTGGGGGTTAACGGGGGGATGAGGACCCATTTTTAATACCTTAACTTAAAAAAAAATATTTTAAAAAAATTAATTGGGCGAAACCGGTTTGGCTCAGTGGAAAGAGGGTCGGCCTGGGGAATGAGGGGTCCCGGGGTCCATTCCAGGCAAGGGCATGTACCTGGGTTGCGGGCACATCCCCAGTGGGAGATGTGCGGGAGGCAGCTGATCGGTGTTTCTCTCTCATCGATGTTTCTAACTCTCTATCTCTCTCCCCTCCTCTCTGTAAAAAATCAATAAAAGCCGAAACCGGTTTGGCTCAGTGGATAGAGCGTCGGCCTGCGGACTGAAGGGTCCTGGGTTCGATTCCGGTCAAGGGCATGTACCTGGGTTGCGGGCACCTCCCCAGTAGGAGATGTGCAGGAGGCAGCTGATCGATGTTTCTCTTTCATCGATGTTTCTAACTGTCTATCTCTCTCCCTTCCTCTCTGTAAAAAGGGATGAGGACACATTTGTAATACCTTAACTAATAAAAAAATATATTAAAAAAATTAATTGGATGGCTTATTAACAGGAATTTATTTATTACAATTCTGGAAGCTGGGAAGTCCAAGATCAAGTTGCATGTTTCCTATGAACATCTGTTCTCACTGTAACCTCACATAGCAGAAGGGGCAAGTGATCTCCCTGAGAACCTCCTCCTCTTTTTTTTTTTTTTGTAAATTCTCACCCAAGGGTATTTTTTTCATTGATTTTTTTTAGAGAGTGGAAGGGAGGAGGGCAGAGAGAGAAACATCAATGTGAGAGAGACACATTGATGTTCCTGCAACCCAGGTATGTGCCCTTGACCAGGAATCAAACCCTCAACCCTTTGGTGCTCAGGCTGATGCTCTAACCATTTAGCAACACCAGCCACTGTTATAGAGTACTAATCCCATTTTGAGAGCTTCCTGCTCACCCCCAAAAGCCCAACCTCCAAATACCATCTGATTGGGGGAATAAGTTACAACATATGAATTTGGGGGAGGACACAATCATTCAGATCATAACAACCATATAAGTGAAACAGTATAATTTTTTTCTTATGAAATTGTATTTGATTTATCTTCCTTCCATTGCATTCTGATATGCCTTTTGAATTTTTGAATGTCTCATAAAGCTACATGAACTGCAATTCATAAGCCATTTCTCTGCAATCTTCTATGAGAGACAGATATTTAAGAGGCTAAATTCAAGTTCTAAAAATTAAATTCACCTTTTATATAATGCATGATTTTATATCTGAAGTACTTGAAACTACTAATTAATTTTATTTTATTTTTGAACTAGAGGCCCAGTGCACGAATTCATGCACAGGTGGGGTCCCTCTGGGTGGCCTGCAGGGATCGGGCCGAAACCCGCAGTCCAGTGCCGCCTGCATGTGCCTGCTGCAGGCTTGCGCCCAATCAGTCCTGATCGGAAGGGGGTTGTGCTGCCGCAGCAGTGCTTGCCAGCCATGAGCCCTGCGTCTGGCACCCTCCCAAGGGGAGTGGCCTGTGGGATCGGGCTGAAACTGGCTCTCTGACATCCCCCAAGGGGTCCCGGATTGTGAGAGGGCGCAGGTCAGGCCGAGGGACCCCACTGGTGCACGATCAGGTTGGGGAGGGACCGGGGGAGGGCTCCAGGGTGTGTCCGGCCCATCTCACTCAGTGCCCAGCAGCAAGCTAACCTACTGGTCTGTGCATCTTCCCCCTGATGGTCACTGCACATCACAGTGAATGGTTGAACAGTTTACTGTCCCCTGATGGTCAGTGCATGTCATAGCGATCAGTTGAGCAGCCTTAGCATATCATTAGCATACTACAGGCCTGTTGCACGAAGAGATTCGTGCAATAGGCCTACCCTTTCCTTGGCTGCTGGCACCGGTTTGCCTCTGGCACCCGGGACCCAGGCCTTCA